TAAACAAACGATTCATTCATATAATATCCTGTCAGCACTCAGCAGAGACGATCTTTGATCTTTGTTTCGCACTACGGAGGCCGAGAGTCTCAGTTATCACCACACATGGAAGTTGAGGAGAAAGAGAAACACAGCGCACCAAAAAATACCTACAAATCAAACGTTTGGCAACACTTAGGATTTTTCAAGAAAGACGGTCAACTTGAAAAATCGCTCGCAAATTGTAAACGATGCCGTGCTGCTTTAAAGTACACAAGTAGTATGAGGAACTTGGCGGCGCACATAAAGAGGCGACATGGGGTCTGTGGCTGAAAAGAGAAACCTGAAAGTAAGACATATGAGTTCAATCACTCAGTGAGGTGTTATGTCAGAGAGTGATGTTTAGTTTACAACAGCCTGTGACTTCCAATAATAGTTTAAATGTCTTCCTTACAATTGTAAGCAGTTATGAAATACCTGTTTGTGAAAGGTTATTTGTATTTTGTATTGTTCATATAGAAACCACACCACTGCTTTCTGCTCACTGGTGAGTTAGCCTATGAATGAGTGTTAAGCACATCAGGCTGGCAGTTGTATAGGCATTGCACTATGGTAGTTGTTATTTGCACATAGTTAATCATGAGCAATGCATCCTTAAATTGTTTAACTGTGAGGTATTGTACTGTACTCTGGAGAGTTTTTTTAAGGTAAAAAAAGAAACGGCATGATGGGATGTGCAGTACTATAGAGAGAACCAAATATGTAAAGCACTTTTTTGTTAATTTATGATTTGCTGCATATGAGGAATAAAACAAAAATCCTCTGTCGTACCATATTGAAGTATCATTTATTTTTGCATCGTGTTGAAACGTATCGCCCCGAATTGCATAATGTTGAATCAAATCGTATCGTAACAGGGGTGTATCGTATCGTATCGTATCGCATCGCCTGGTGTTTCAAATGTATCGTTAATGTATCGTAGGCAACGTATCGAGATGCGCATCGCATCGGCCTCAGTGATGGAGATGCACATCCCTAATAGGCTGGCATGACTAGGCTGTGTTCAATGGGGCTGATGTGTTGTGTAGATTCTGCCAGAAGGAAAATCACGGTCAAACTCCTTTATGAAGCGGTGAGGTGCCGCTCCACTATCTTTTCTTCCCGACTGCAACGCTGGTCCCGCAAATCAAGCAATAACGTGATTGGTCAATATTCATTGTGGGGGGAGGAGGGTTGTTAGATAGATATAGAGTTTGCTATGATTGAGGTTTCGTTTATGCATAGGGTAGATTATTTTAATTACAATTCCTATTTTTTTCTTTTGTGTATTTTTTGGATTTGCTTGGCGAGCTACTTATTGAGGGCTTGCGAGCTACCAGTAGCTTGCGATCGACGGAGACCCCTGCTTTAGATAATCTAAACTTTTTTTGCAGCCCCATAACAAAAGCTTTTAATTAACAATATGTGACTTTTTATTGTAATGGATTTATTAAGTGTTTATAACCAGATTCATTAAAACAAGACAATACCGCAGGGAGAAAGAGTAAGCAGCAAAACAAATGGGGCTACTTTTAAATCTGAATAATTGATGATAAAATAAATTAGTTCATCCACCGGTTTACAGCCCTTCGGTTGGTCACAAACATTCACAGCCATGGATCAGTTTTATGCCCCGGCCACACGAGGACGAAAACGGTCGTTTGCGTTACTGTTTAGTGTCATATAGACCGTTCGGCCACACGAGGACGACCGAATACGGCACTAAACGACTGCGTAAACGATAACGGGTCCCAAGGTGGATAGAACGGCATACGCAACGGTCTGGGGGGTCCAACGGCTCCGTGTGTACGCCCTATACGATCATTTTCTGATAATGATGAGGCAATAGCCCCGCCTCTCCCCACCTCTGCTGCTCACCCCCGCGTCAAAGTAAACTGCACACTGAATTCAGATTATTTATCTTTCTCTCGATATGGACCTAAACACGAGTGAAGTCTAATCTGACAGGACGGAGACACGCAGCTCTGCTCACCTGCAGCTCCTCCCGCTGTGATGCGGTGGTGAACGGAGTAAAACACACACTTCAAGTCCGATCATCACCCGTAGCTATTTTAATTACCTCTCAAACTACCTAAACTAGATATAAATATGTTTATTTTTTACTGTCGGCCGGGTCACTCATTACTGGATCAGCTGCTGCATGAAACAGACACTGGCGCTGTCCGAAGAGAGGGAGGAAAAAGAGAGGCTCCATGTATTTTATTATTATAATATATAGATTCGTTATTCATTTGTTTTAAAGCTCAATAAATAACAAAGAAGACCTTTGACCGGCACTTTTATAATTTTGTCGGAAGATTTAAACTTTAATACACGTTGACTGGCAAAAAACTCTGCCTGGTTCCCTCGGCCCCCACCGCGTAGAATAAACAGAAGGGCAACCATGACAACCATGCTTCTTCGCTGCTTTTGTGGAGGAAGTTACAGCGCCACGTACAGGCTCCTGCATATGTACTGCAGCTTCTCCAGCGGTTGGAGCTAAACGGAGCTGTCTCGTGTGGACAGACACTATCCGGATGACTATTGCGTGTGGACGGAAGCTTTTTTGCGTTTGCGTTAATCCTATGCGTTTAGCCGTTTTCGTCCTCGTGTGGCCGGGGCATTAGACTCACTTTAAGGTGGTAGCCCTGTTCTAATGAAAAAGCAAATCCTTGCCACGATCCACAATTGGCTGAGTCAAGCTAGCTGTATGGAAGAACACTAGCCAATTCATATGGCCATCCATTTGACATGAGACTTCTTGTGATTTCAAAACTCACCTGCGATTCATTGTAGGAGATGGAATCATACAGGATAGTTTTTATCCTAGCTTACTGATATGGTTTTAAGTTACAACCCATTAAGAGAATGGTTGGGATCGAAAGTTAGCACATGCTCTGTAAATGATAACTTGTTTTATTAAAGTTTATTTATTTACACATGTGATGTCACTGAATGCATATCTGCATTTCCCTAACAGGTGTGACTCCAGTGCGTCCACCCATACCAGTGCTCCCCCAGGTTGGTCTTGTGAACCCAGTGCTCGCTTCACCGCCAGTCCTGTCCAATCAAGCTGGAGGCTCCAACCAACAAGAGAGGAAAGAAGAGAAAGAGGAGATGCTGCAGGACGGTACAGGGCAGGAGATGTTGAGTGACCAAGAACACATGAGCATCTCGGGCAGCAGTGCCAGACACATGGTGATGCAGAAACTGCTAAGAAAATCAGAGGTAAGCTTTGGTCATATGTGGTGAAAGAAGAGCCTTTAAAAAGACATTTCATTAGCAAATACTTTTACTTGTAAAATGATTGCGTTGCTCCTTTCTAGTCTACGGTTATGGTGCTCCGAAATATGGTTGGACCTGAGGACATCGACGACGACCTGGAGGGGGAGGTGACCGAAGAGTGCGGGAAGTTTGGCGCCGTCAACAGAGTCATCATATACCAGGAGAAGCAAGGAGAAGAGGAGGATGCAGATATCATTGTCAAAATTTTTGTAGAGTTTTCCATGGCCTCAGAGATGAACAAAGCCATCCAGGCCCTCAATGACCGCTGGTTCGGAGGTCGCAAAGTTGTCGCAGAGGTGTATGACCAAGACCGTTTCAACAGTAGTGATCTCTCTGCGTAAAAGTGTTTGTAATGGTTCACCAGCACCCACCCCCATACCTGTCCCCTAAACTCATGTTAGTCTCTGCAGCTAGAGATGCGGACCACTGAAACTTGTAATTATGTTTTTTTTTATTTGTTTTTTAAAATTGCTGTTGATATTAATGTTAAATGCCCCATTTGGGGGGGATTCATAGAAAAATATTTACATGTCAGATTTTGCTTTGTTTGTGAAAACTCCCTTCTTTTTTTTTTTGCAAGTTTCAATTTCTTGTAATCCAAACTTGTAACATGTTCATTTTTCCTGCTTTCGCTCATTTACATTTTCTTCCTTTCGTGAATTTTCTGGGACAAGTTAACACATCCTTTCAATGATTAAAGGTTATTGTTTGTTCCTAAGAAAGTGTGATGCAGTTTTTATTGTTTATGAATAAAGAATCCTTTGTTTTGAGATAATTAGTTGTGTGACTGATTGTAGAACATATTTAAAAAGTAAAAACATGTACTTTGACTTATGCATGCACATTTATAGTCCTATCGGGTATTAGTCATTCTCAAATGCCACTGTGTTTGTGGTTAGTACAGGTGGTGAACAACTTCTGAAATGGTAAAATAAAACTTCAGACTTTGAATAGATACATATTTACTTAATGATCATTCAAAAACGATCAGCTAAGACAGTCTTTTCTGGATTTCTGACATTTTTGGGTCTATTTGACAACTGCATAGTATTCACCTCTTGTTTAGTTGCCATAGGTTTTATTTTTTAACCTGCTTCACCGGTAATGAGTTTGTATTGTCTCGGGTGCATTGTTATCATGGCACTTGAGTTGGTAAGTTCATATTTGCCAAGTTTGTTTTGCCCTGCATCTCTTCTTTACAATAGCATCATTTGAGTTTTTCACCTACTTGCTACTCAGTGAAGGGTGAATAGCTTGTAGATGGATGTTTGACTTGTGTGTTCAAGAAATCAAATCATCGGCTATATGCATGGTTTTGTTCACGTCTGTCCTCAAAGACCATGGTCCTGGTTACACATTGTGGTAGAGCTAGTCCCTGTTGTGGACACAGTAATGTACACTGTCTCCCTGCATTGCACACAACTGGAAAGTCCTGCCATTTCTAGTCATGTAGCAAGAATAAAGCAACCGTTGAAGACATGTAACAAATAGTGCAAACTCGAGGACATTACATGATAGGCATATTTTAATGGTACTTTATTATGGCCTGGTTTTTTCGTTAAACAATATGATAGTACTGTGTTGTGTACATTTAAGCCAACTGTCATCCACCGCTAGATGTCGCTGTACAGTAACGGAACTGCTGCCCAGCCGCCAGTAGTAGTGGCCTGTACTCCAACGACTCCAACTCAAACTCGGCCCAGCCCCCCACAGGACAAACCCGCCTGCCTCAGCGCAACAAGGGGAGTGATGCGCGGCTGTTGCTGAAGCTCCTGGCTGTAACTACGTCGCATTAAAACAACACCAGGCAGTTTATTGTACGTCTACTGGCATGTTGCCACTTCACTCTTTGGCCGGTTAATAGGGTGTTTCCCGTAACGTTCGTTATACTTATATTAGTGAGCTATCGGCAGCTAGGCACAAAGGCGTTTAGAGAGCTACTAGCCGATGTTAGCTAACTGTAACTAGCATGCTAACAACACAGCCGCCGAGAACGAGCACATCCTTGCGCAGCCACACTCGGGTTAATCTCTGTTGACTCGCTCCGTGGGTTATGTTAGCTGTTTCATGGTAGTCATTCATTTGTAACCTAAGTCAAGTGTTTTTTTTTATCAGCTACCACTCATGACTAGGATACTTGAAGCAACACTTAAGTATAACTGGTTCGTTTGCTTGTTTTTCAGCTAGCCAAGGCACTGCTTTGGTCTCATTCAGGGATGTGGTGGTAGCAAAACAAGCTAACGTTACTCCCCTCTGTGAAGAAGTGACTGCAAGAAGTGAGGAAAAACTGAAGGCAAGCGGGAGTTTTTATTTGTGTTTATCTTTCATTCCGGTGTGGATGACACGAGGACAAACCTGACAAACACAGTTGAACTGAAACTGGGAATATCACTAACAGGTCGAAGGGATTATTTTGGTGTCTCTAAGTGGATTTCGGCCTCTTGTTGGGGATCGTCGTGGGAACACCGTGAGTGTTTTGACATTGAGTCAGTCTACACGCAACAAATATCCCGCCGACCTTCATCCTCCGATGCGGAGATTTCAGTAGCACCGGCAACCAAATCCCCCCCGGCGGCCGGACATGCTGAAGTGTATCCCCCTGTGGCGTTGCAACCGCCACGTCGAGTCGGTGGACAAGCGGCATTGCAACTTGCAGACAGTCCCCGATGAGGTATTCCGCTACAGTCGCAGCCTGGAGGAGCTTCTCCTCGATGCCAACCAACTCAAAGAGCTACCAAAGGTATGCATGGCTAACAGTCCAAAATGTACCCCTGTGTCATTCAGCAATGTGCATCATTCCCCTGAGCCAAGCTGGCTATATAGTGTCTCCTTGTGCACGATATCCTGGTTCTGTCAAATTCACTCTGTGTTTAATCCACATATTTAATTAGAAAAGTGTACCCAAGGTGAAATGGCTTGCATGATATAACCTGCTCAGGTAATTCCTTCTTATCAAAGGTAGCATACTTTTTTCTTTGCCTCCTTCGAATATGTTTGGCCATTGTGCCCTGCAGTCTTGTGACATCAATGAATAATCAAGAGCCATACAGTATCCAACAGTTACAATATAAACTTGAATCATACAACTAGGTAATCCAGTTCATCTTTGCATGGGGGTGTTTTCCCCAATAATACTGAAGCCCTTAGTAAGTTGTGTAAAGATGAATGGACAAGGCACGATAGGATGTTTTAGTTAGTCGAAGAGAAGTGTTCTTTGGCTAAAGGTTGGGTATGCTGCATGTCCAGAGGGAGTGACCCTGACCAAAACAGCTGGCACACAACATGTTGCCTAGTAATGGCATCACTGGCCAGTGGGTTGTATGCAGTGTGTGAAGGCATGCGTGGAATGAATTGGAACGGTTTCCCCACCCACACACCCACTGTTTGAAAAATAAGAACTGAAAAAGTTCTCTGCACAGCCAGAGAGTTTATTTTTAGGGTAGCAGAATTGTTGTAGGTCTTTCTTTCCATAGCTCTCCAGAGATGGTGGACAAAGCACTTGCTCGGTCAACTTTCTCCCTGTTTTATTCAGTTCAGCAATTGTTTATTATTGAGACATGGCTGTGATTGTGATGGAGCTGGGAGTTTGAATGAATACACTGTTCAGTAGTAGACGTTGTCAGTCTCATGTTTCTTGGCTTTTGCTTAGGGGCGAAGGGGCAAATGGTTTGTTCACTAATGAAGAAGATGTTAACAAGTCAAGGTCAACAGAGGACGAAGTGTTGACAGGACCACCTTTCTGGGAACAATAGAACTTATTTTCCTAGCATCCCCAGGCTTTAACGTAAGAATACTTGTTTTAGATCAGCTCTTACTGCTATTTCTTTTTATAAAATATGTGTGTGTAACTTCTCTTTGGACCCAAACTTGGCTCTTGCATGAACAATTTGTTCACAGATGTCAGGGAGCCACTCATGAAGACATACATACAGCAGCTGTAGGATATTTAAGTGTAGTTACAGCACAAAAGCTTTGCCTGATGAAGCTTACCTGCGGACAGACAGTCTGTTTCCTCCACTTAGTTCAACCGTGTCAGATATTCACATTGTACCTGGAGCATGGCCCCTGAAACCCTGCTGAGTGACGGATACACCCAGATATTCTGGCGCACACTGCTAAGCTAACCGACGCAGTCTCTGTGATGCTGGCTTCAACCAGGAGACATAAATGCGGGCTGACACAATGTCTTGTGTGGCTGCAGTGAATGCGTAGCGTGCAGACACAAAGCATACAGACTCTCTCGGGTCCTCAGAGTCAGCGGGGCTTCAGCGAAGGAGCCGTGTGAGAGGTCAGGCCCATACAGGGTTAGGAACAAGGGCACTGACTGTATGATACATTACATTCCATAATGAGCTCATAAGTGAGTATGGGTCTGAATGCCTTTATGCTTTTGTGTCCTTTCTTATCACTGGGTATTCAGGTCAAAGATGAGTCTTTGTCAGTCTATTTCTCAATTTCAGTCTTAACATCTTGTGTTATACAGTTTTTTTGTATGTATTTGAATGAGCACATTGTGGACGCATTGCGGCATGCAACTAGCATGTGCAACATATGCCATAGATAAAGAATAATCGGCTCAGAGGGGACACCTTTGCAGACTCACTTATTTTATAGGGGGCTACAAACTGCCCTGGTACACACAGTCTTGTGACACAAGTCACAAGCTTACAGGGCTGTCAAGCAGGGGATGTTATGTATACAGTAACATTTTATACACAAGCAAAAATCAATACAGCCATTAAGATGCTTTAAACACAGGGAACTGGTAATATGTTTTGTATTGATAAGACCATTAAAGCAATTGTGATTTGTATAGGTATTTTTTATGGTGCGGCTAGAGGTGGGATAGGTCTCGTATTGAGGGGGTTTAACGAAGTGAACAGATGGAGATTTAGACGCCCTGACAGTTTCTTAAGTTTGTTGTGACTCACCCCCACCTCACTGCCCACCAATCTTAGATAATGCTCTCTGCTGTAACGATGTCTCCATTTGCCACATGCTTTGTAAAAGACGAAATGAAAGAATGATGTGTGGGTCTGATTGATTTTCGGGCCAGATTCTATCCAAGCTGGGTATTACTACTTAAATAGTAGCATTTATTATGACCTTTCTGTATGAAATTAGTTTAGAAAAGCCTTTTTTAATTAGCTGGTCGGGAATTCCCCAAAGGCCTGTATATCCTTAGCCCTTAATGCTGGTCACAGCTCTGTTTACTCATTGCAAAAATGCTCAGATAGCCGGTAACAGGTTTCAGTTTTGCTACTCGGACATTTACTTTGAAAGTTACACCTGAGTGAACATTGAGAAAAAATGAATGACTTTATAATTACATTTTTGTTATTTAACTTGGCACACGTCATTGTCACGGGTGAATCTCTTGGTTGCTCAACCTATTCTGTCAATTATTGACAAATTGCTTGTGATGGTTAAAAGTACATGTCCCACAATTCACATGTTCCTATACGGTTCTGTGTGACTCTTCAGCAGGGAAGTTTGCAATGAAGCCATCTAAATGTCTCTTCGCTGCTCTGACAAACTAGCTGTGCCTCAAAGATCATGTTGAGGAAGAGGGAATTATCTTTTTGGCCATTCTCAAGTCCCATGACAGGTTACAAAGAAGTCCATTCACAAGTCTGATTGACCCCCCTCCCTCATATCCGATGTCATGGCTCTTTGTGTTTCTTTTGTGCACTGCACTGCCCTTGACCAGGCGTACATTAAGTCTGCAAGCATATCGACTGAAATGTTCACTTTTAGGATTTGTTTTAGGTCAGTTGCACCTGCTCAAAAGCACAAGTAGGACCCTATTCAGAGGGGCCAGGTGTTCTGCAGGTGCAGTAGACAGCAGCCTAAAAAAGGCCTCTACCAAATGTACATAACCTGAGTATATTTACTTGTTCTTATTTTGGTTTTCCATTGTTGAAATAGGGAACATATCCCTGATGGGTGTGTCTCCATTAGATTTGCAAAACAGGTTCTATGCATGTTGCTCCCAGTATGAGTGCCTAATAGGATCTTGCAGATACACTGATGATATGTTACAGTTCCTGGCTCAATATAAGAACTGTTGCAAATGGGCTATGAGAAAAATGTGTTACCGCTATCGGCAACTAATGCCATAGTTACACAAGTAGTTGGAGAAAATACGATTTGTAGATATTTTGTTGTTATAAGGCTCTATATGATAATTAGTAAGGATGACTAGGCAATATTTGTAATCCTCAGCTGTCACCAGTACCCTCCCTCTGTGTGCTAATAGATCGGTGGCTAAGGGCAGATTAAGGCTTCACTCAGCCGTGAAAATGCCCCTCAGCACCTCAGTTGTGACCCCCCCCCTTCATACACGCCAGTGCGTCTCAGTGTACGCTTCCTCTGGGATCTGCTTATCTGCCATTTGGGCCTCTTTTCGTGCACAAAACTGCACAGATAAAAGTCTTGCTTTTCTCCCTGTTGTATGTTCAGCCCAGTCAAGATCAACTCAAATGATGCCCTTCACTGAAAGTGAATCAGCCTACCATTGGTTTTTTTAAGCTTCAGTAGTCATCTTTTTTATTTGATGTGTCTTTGTTGTACACGTCTCTATTGTGATCTTAAGGATAATCCAAAATGGCTATGTGAGAATCAATGGTGCTCTGTCTATCTACTTTTCTATTCCGTTTGAATATGTGAAGACATCCAGCCTCACTGGGCTTTCAAGTTTGGTTCTCCGTGAGGGAACTCTCGGACATTCACTTCACACTGCAGTCTTTACATTGTGCTAGTGAATTTTGCAGTCGGTGTCACTCCCCTTAGTTTCCAGTTGGATGTAGAGACAGAGCCCTGGTTTGTCTTTCCCCAACAACCTTGCTGAACTAGGCTAAGACCAAAGATCAATTACACCTGCCTAAAAACCATCATCACACAAACAATCATTCCTGAAGCGCAGCTCTTTGTCACTCCTCTCTGCTCTCTTTCCTGCTCTGGTCAAGCCAGTCCTATTGTTTACTCCTGAATGGTTCCACAGTTTGATTTGTTGTGTGAATCATTTGTTTTCATGTCTCTAAGCCTATAGGATCTATATTCTCTACAGTATTGGGTTGAACAGAAGTAGAATTGAGGTTTTTCGTGTCACAGCACTTGAAAAGTTATACAGAGTTGGTGAGGCTATGAAAAAGCAGCAATGTGAGAAATTGGAGTTTCTTTTTGATGCAAGAGCACATTCAGCAGGTTTCTTTGTCTGAGCTGATGACCAGCTGCTCTCACATCCTGCTGTCCCCCCTCCCCCAATCTAGTGGGACAGCGGGGTAATGGGAGGTGGGTGTGTGTGTGTGTGAGTGAGTATTTAGTTGTAGTAGGGGGGTGTATTTCATTCCCGGGATGGATTAACATGAGCAGGTGGAGCTCTGGCACCTCCACTGGAGGAAGTGAGCTGAGCTGTGCTTCACTGACACAGGGACCTCTGGGGAGTGCAGGAGCCATCCATCCACCCATGAACACCAGAGTCAGGGCTGACATGCGGTGTCAGGTGGGGAAGAAGTAGCCAGAGTCCCAGGGAAAACAGCCGGTCCCCCTGGAGACCCCTGCGCGGTGTAGATGGATCTTCTACTTTGTTCTATCTGACAAGCAAACACACATCCTCCGCCTTCCGTCCCGTTCACTTTGAGAAATAATGCATTCCTTCCTGAGAAATTGCTGCGGTGTGTTTTGTCAAGCACCAGTCAGTGTCCCTTAGAATTCGACCCCTGCTTTATGCATCCCATC